CTCCGTCCAGGAAAAAAAAAAAAAAAAAAAAAAAAAAAGAAGAAAGGAAAATCCCATGTGCCCGTTCGTACTCTGTTATAAAGACGCCATGGTTATTTTAATTGGTCCAACAGACCAGCAATTGAGCTCAGACTTCCGCCCTTCCATTCATCCCATTTTTTGTTTCACCTCTTTTCAACTGCCAAATCACCGTCCATGGCCCTGGAACTCAGATTCCCGTCGTCAGAGCTTTCTTTATTTTCCCGGAGGTGTTTCGCTCCGATCAATCACCGCCAAAATGTCAGATTGCCCTTCACCTGTCCAAGGAAAACCACCCCAGAGTCACCGATGAGTTGGGGTTCTGGTCACCGCCTTGTTGTTACAGCGAAGAAATCCCCGATCGATGGCGTTCCGGCGGAGCTTAACAAAATCGCCTCTCAGAAATTGGACTCTGCTCCGGCCCGCCGCCGGGTCCGGTCCGCTTTCATGGAGCTTCAACAGCAGCTCGATCACTGCTTATTCAAGGTTTATTTTGTACATTTTTTTCAAAATCTTGATCTATGAGATTCCCTGTTTCGGTCGTTTGACTAAAATCGATTTAATCTGTTAGATGGCTCCTGCTGGGATCAGAACTGAAGAGGTACGAAATGGTGTTTTAAGTTCAAATTTGCAATAGATTTTACCTTAGATCAAAGAAGATATTGATTTAATCTTTTAGGTTTTCAATTTCCCCTTTTCGTTAATTTTTGCAATATTGTTAGAATGTTATGTGATGAATGAATTGAATGTGTTGTGTGTAGTGGTATGAATGTAATTCAAGAGGCTTGAATATTTTCTGCAAAAGATGGTTTCCTGAGAGTGATGTTGGTATTAAAGGTGCTGTGTGTTTCTGCCATGGCTATGGTGATACCTGCACGTTCTTCTTTGATGGTTTGTTATCGTTTCATTTTCCATTTTTGTTCATTCATGTGTTTTCCGTGATGCCCCAACAACATGAGTTTTGTGGTGGTGTTGTTAAAATTTCAGGAATTGCTAGGCACATTGCTGCATCTGGGTATGCCGTTTATGCGATGGACTACCCAGGTTTCGGTCTTTCGGAAGGATTGCACGGTTACATTCCCAGCTTTGATGAACTAGTTGATGATGTTATAGAACAGTACAAGAAGTTCAAAGGTTTGGTGAGAGTAGTTGATTTGTGGATCATCACTCTCTTACAATCATTCCTCAAATTGTATGTTTGAACATGCAGGTAGACCAGAATTGAATGGATTGCCTCATTTCATATTAGGACAGTCCATGGGGGGAGCTGTTACCTTGAAAATTCACTTGAAGGAACCAAAGCTATGGGATGGAGTGGTTCTTGTGGCTCCCATGTGTAAAGTAAGTAAGTTCACAAGGAATGAACAAAATTTTTGATCTCTGAATACTGATTTTGATGCTTATTAAGATTGCAGACGATGTCAAACCGCCTGAACCTGTGCTTAAGCTCTTAAAACTAATGTCTCATGTCGTGCCAAAAGCCAAGCTTCTCCCAAATGTCGATCTCGGAGAACTCGCTATCCGAGAAACAAACAAAAGGAAACTGGTTCGTATGCCTTTACGCTCTTTAAATACATTAGATTTCCATACCAATCAAGCCTTTGCACATTTAGTTCCTTGATAGGGAGAGGTTTTCAACTCACACGTGATCTATTTACAAGAGAAACGAAATGTCAACACGGTGCATTGACATTTGTTTCTTTGAAGAGTTTTAGAACATTTTATATCGTCTGGTCTGCTTGTAATGCCCCTGTTGAAAATTGCCAAAGATTGAAATATATCGAAACAAATAACTAAATCGGAAGAACAACTTGAGGGAATAGAGGAACTTAAAACACTTATACTTTATACATACATACATGTCACATATCAGTTTTGAATAGAGCTTACGAGTTTTTTTTTTTTTGCAGGCGGTGTACAATGTTACATCATATGGTGATCGGATGCGCGTGAAAACCGCCATGGAACTTTTAAAGGCGACGGATGATATCGAGAAACAAGTGGAGAAGGTGATGGTTCCCTTCCCATATGAACATTATTGATTTAGGATTTACTGATTGTAGAGAATTTGCAGGTTTCATCACCATTACTGGTTCTTCATGGAGCTGCAGACAAGGTGACAGATCCTAAGATTAGTCGTTTTCTATATGAGAAAGCGTCAAGCAAGGACAAGACTTTGAAGCTGTATGAAGAAGGTTTTCATTGCATCCTAGAAGGAGAACCAGATGAAAGAATTTTTACTGTCCTTAACGATATAATCTCTTGGCTAGATTCCCGATGCTCCTCGACGTAGTGCTCGGCTATCTGTTCAATGTTTATATTTGAAGAATTATAAAATTGCGTTTTCTTTTGTTGAAGCATAAACTTTGGTTAAATCATACCCAATATGAAACTTTAGATTAGGTTTCCATGGTTGAATATTTGATGCTCCAATTTTAAAATTTGTTCTTTAAAAAAAGAAATATTGGTTAGTAACTATAGATCTTGGTAGAATGATATTGTGTACTTTAAAGATAGTTTTTATGGTTTTATTTTGAACTTTCACAAAACTCTCTTTCACCAACAGAGATGTAATCATTCCTTCTCGAAATATGAGACGAATTTTAAAATTATCAAAAGTATATATTTTTTTAGTAACTCATTTATCAATTTTTTCTTTTATATTTTTAATTATTTTTCAACTAAATATTTTTTCTAGTGTTATTAACATGGAGACTTTATGAGCCTATGAATTATAAGATCCAATTATGCAATATTGATTAGTTAAACTGTCACTTTATTTTAGATCTATATTTTAAACTTTTAATGCACCTATCCATTTTATAGATGTATAGATTTATGTTCTAAAACCTCATCATTAATTATTTAATTTTAATAATAATTGTGATTATTTTATTTACAATTTAATATTATATATGGGATGAAAAAGGTAAGGTTAATTAGTGTAATTTTAAACCACATGTGGTTGACAAGATCACATCCGAGTAATAACCTAAAGAGTCTATAATATATGTATAAGATTGAATCTCTTATTCTAGTAACATTGTTAATATAACTCACTTTGTAATTGATACAAATGATTTTGATCCAATTCGTTAATGTAGAAACATGTGAGTAGGATATCCTATAAAATGAATTTGTATAAGACTAAACCACAACAAAAATTTAATCTCTTTATAAATCCATTAATTGAGAAGATTAATATTTCCCAAGGTGATAATATATGACTCGATCTTAACCTTAAGAAAGTTATGAACTCTGGCCAATGAGGACTTGTCCTTTGATTTACATGAGTTAGAATGACTTTTGATTTCTCGACTTGACATTGCATGAAAGTCGATTCTTCATGAGTTGTTTGTAATTACAAATGAGTCAAAAGTTCATTTTACCTTGTACTTATGTAACGACCCGAAATTTTATACTTAATTTAAGGTCGTTATTGTATACATACCATGAACATTGAATGCGGAAATACTTCATTTAAACTTTCATAAAACATAGTCTTTAGCTTAAAACACACCCATGGACTTATGTGTTTTGAAAACACCATTAAAAATGATACAACAAAAGACTACATAAAATAAATAAACGTTTAAATTAAAATCATCCTATTCTAGCCTAAGTCGAAGAAAATAAATACGACTACCTTATGCATGTGTCATGGTTTCGAGTTGCAATGTCGTTGTCAACTGTATATGAATGCCTTGCCTTAACCCTGAAATAGAGGTAGCATGTGACTTGAGTATTTAAATAAATACTCAGTAACTGACCCCATTATTGGGGGTTAAATGCAAGAACATGCGAATGCAATGACAAGACCTATCATATCAGCCTGTTTTCCTATGGTACTGTCCTAACGGGTAACTTGGATGTGTACCATATACTCTACATACAGCTCATATGAACTCACTAGTCAGTTCGCACACCGCTGGGCCACTTTCCTTGTCGGGCGAGCATACTTTGGGAGCTCCTTAGGTCAGACACCCATTAGAACTAGTAACCATCACAACAACATTAAGTTAAACATAATGATCGTTCTTCTGCCTAACTGTCGCCTATTCTAATGGTCATCAAAATTTCATAAATAGCCCTATCATGTCATAGTGATTCTTCCCTCAAATTTCATGAGCAACATAACTCATTTTGTAGGTTTGTGGCTCAGGCACTTCGTTGAAATAAATGTTCATGTGGACAATAAAGTTGACCAACTTACTCAATCTTAATCCCAAGATCCTCACAAAATTCGCTTAAAAAAATTGTTATAACTCATTTTGTAGGTTTGTGGCTTAGGCACTTCGTTGAAATAAATGTTCATGTGGACAATAAGGTTGACACTTACTCAATCTTAATCCCAGATCCTCACAAAATTCGCTTCAAAAAATTGTTATTATATAAGCATGGTGGATATCCTAAGATGCTATAAATCTTGAGATACTTAAAAATCCAACTTATAATGACCGTCTTTAAACTTTAACTATGATAATACCTCTTACCAGATTGACATTATTAGAAAAAATTTATGGATAATTTTCTATGACAATTTGTTTATATTGAGCTTTTGACCATGCATTTGTGTATATCAACCACATTCAAAATTACACTAATTAGCTTGAATTTTTCAAACAAGATAATATTAAATAGTAAATAAGATTATTAAAATTATGACTAAAAATTTAATCATTAATCAGGATGGTTTAGAGCATAAAATCCATTCTACTTTATGCTAACTAAATTTATTTACTAATTACCACAAATTATTTCAATAATGTATAGGACTCTAAAGGTGAGAAATTTAATTATATTATTCTATAGGCTAATGCCTTTAATCAACTATGCTAACATGATTTTTACCATTTCACATGAAGATAAATTTGACAAAATGGAAGATTTAAATAGATACAAATTAAATCTAGGTTAATATAATGTGGTTGTTGGAATCTATGCGTAGATTCTTATAATTAATTATTTAAATTTTATTATTTTATTTATAATATAATATTATCCATTAAATAAAAAAAAAATTTAATGTTTATTCTTATAGTCTTGAATAAAACATGTTTAACTTTAAAAGAATTAAAAAAAAAAATGTAATTTTCAAACTTTTAATGAAAGTTGAGTGATGTTTATGAAATCATCCCGCGGGAATTTCGAGAAACCCAAAGAAAAAAGAAAAAAAAAATTACATTTTGTGAGGATAAATGTGAAGTTCATGGGATAAAATACCCTCATACCTATCCAATTTAACCTATTACCAATTATAAATAGAGGAAGAGATAATTGGAAGAAATTGGGAAATTAAAGGGATAATGTCAGAGGGACTCAGAAAAAACTAAATTATATTAGTTTTTATTTTACAAAATTGAGCCTATACATAAATGACAAATTATGTAAAATTGATGTATTTAGGTTTATAAGGAATCATAGTCAATAATATAAAGGATAATTATATAATGTGGATGGCGAGTTGCCGGAAAATCCGCCGGAGAGGGTTGTTCTGGTCGCGTCTGTTTGGGAGTGGGCTGAGTGAGAGGTGGTCTGGGTTGGGCTTAGGCTTACGTCGGGCTGGACTGTCAAGATAAATGGGTTCGGTCTCTTCTTACCATTGATCTTTTTTACTGTTATGCCAACAAAGTTAGCATATATGAGAGAAACAAGAGAGTTGATATGAACCAAGACATTAACATGCAATATAAACTTTAAAGAATATGTGAAGAAAATGTCGTCAAAATTATCAAAAAAATGTTTCATGTCACATTGAAGAAAAATCTAGTTTCATTGCTATAAATCGTGGGTGGATCATTATTGTGAGTTATGGTCTTTATTTAATATATATTAAGGCTTATTGGCTAATTATGATCGTAAAGTATATGAAAATTACAACTCTTGAAAAACCTTATGAAATGTTGAGAGTTTTTATTTTGAGGCTATATAATGCGCATGTATGTTATCTTTGTAACATAGACTTGGAAGATGGAGTAAAAGAACATTTGTGATTTCCTTTGACCAACAGCTAAGTTTATTTGCAGTTCTATATAGTTTAGGTGGCATGTAGAATCATTAAGGTTGACATGATCAATCTTGCTTGTGGAGTAATTCGAATCTCAAACAAGTGTTATTGCCTTGAGATTTTCGATCAACAAGGTAATCCGAGTTTTACTCTCCTTTTAGTGATTTCTATATCATTTAGTATTATAGCCTTAGGTTCAAGGTTGGATATATGTTTCTTTGCATTTATCTCTTTTAATTCTCTTTTTTTATATATATATTCAGCTTGCGCAGAAGGATCATTCTCTATCACAAAAATATATAAAAAAGGATTACATTCTTTCTATTCTTTAATTCATGTTGACATATTAAGTGTTAGATTTGGATTTTATTAACACTTTGTTCTCGTACGGCTAAATTAGTCTTTATTCATTTTCTTTCTTTAATTTCGTACTGCTAAATTAGTCTTTATTCATTTTCTTTCTTTAATTTGTTTCTTTGTCGTTATTCGGATTGCTCCTTTAATACCCTTATTTGTGTGTTAAGTGTGCTGTCTGGTTACTTTGAATTGTACTTAGCTCTATAACATAGCTTGCGTGATTTGTGTGTGCTCAATTGTGAGGGTGGGTTTGCAAGGGACTGATACATTGATTCGAGTTTTGAGGGTTAAACACGAGTGAACACACATGAGGAAACGCTTGTGAGATCCTTTTTTTTTTCCTCTCTCTCTTTTAACTTTCTTTTGTAGCATGAACAATCTAGACGACAATCCTAACATTACTGATGCAGGATTGAGAGAAGCACAGCAAACCATGGAAAGACTAATTCGTGGAATAGAAAAGTTGACAAAACGAATAGGAAGATTGGAGATTCAAAATCAAGCTCGAGAGAGGATTCCACTACCTGCACAATATGCCGATCAATATGAGGGAGACAATTCTAATCAACACGAGGATAATCCATATGCGGCTGGTCGTGCCTTGATGCGAGGGAGAGGCCGTGGAAGAAGGCATCATAATTTACAACAACGAGTTCCTTATGACGATAGAATTGATCGTAACGTGGGGAGCATCAAATTAAAACTTCTCAAGTTTTATGGCAAAACCGATTATGGGAGTACCTTGAATGGAAGAAAACGGTGGAGTCAGTGTTCAACTGTCATAATTTTAGCGATGAAAATAAGGTAGTGTTATGCATTGCTCAATTCAAACAATATACTCAAATTTGGTGGGATAAATTGATGTCAAGTAGGAGAAGAAATCTTGAAGCACCAATTGATTCATGGTACGAGTTCAAAGAGTCCATAAAGAAGCGTTTTGTTCAACAATATTTTCAACGTAACATGGCGCAAAAGCTTCAAGTATTGAAACAAGGACGCAAATCTACGAAGGATTATTACAAGGAGATGGATACATTGATGGATCAA